ATGTTATTAATTGGAAATCTTTTAGTATTTGATGATCATAATCAAATTAATATATTAAAACTTGTGGAGGTGGCTCGTAAAGAGAAATTCATAGCCTTAAAATAAGAGAAAACAAAGACTCAAAATTCATGTGGGAGGTGTATAAATACTAAAACAAACATGTAAAAAAGTAAACCCCAAGAAAGGAAATAAAAGGGCAGAAATAAACAGACAATGTTAACAAAACAAACAGGCTTTTGGCAAGAGTGAAATAAAATAGACAAACTGCCAGACTGATGAATGAGGAGACAAGAGAAGACATAGATAAGTAATTATTAGGAACAAAAAGGTTTTAAAGATGTAACTGAGATTTTTAAAATCATACAAAATAGTATAAACAACTTTAAGCCAACAAATTTTAAAACTCAGATAAAACAGACAAGATTCTAGCAACATATAACTTAACAAATCTACACTGTGCATCATTAAAGAAATTAATACTATAGTTTAAAAATCTGCCTTTTGCCAAAACATATCTACATCAAGGTCAATTCATAGGCATTAATCCATACCTTATACTATTTCAAGGTATAGAATAAAAATCATACCATTTATTGGGGTAATTATTATAGCCCAGGAACTGGTTCCAAGTGTTTTACAGGTATTATTTAATTCAAACTAAAAAATATCTCCACAAGGTAAGCTACATGTTACAGAAAAGGAAGCAGAAACTCAGGAGAGTGCCTCCCACTAAGTGCCCTAAGTAAAAGATTATACTGTTACTACCAAAGTGCAGTAAAGAATCAAACCCAAGCAGTCTTGTTCCAGAATTCCACATCTTAACCACTACTTTATATTGCTGCCTCTCTAAAGGTATAAAAGAATGGACTGAAAGAATTAGGAGTATGGTATTCCCCCTTATCCTTGGCAGATACATTCCAAGACCCCAGTGGATGCCTGAAACCATGGATAATCCCAAACTTGATATATACTATGTTTTTCCTATACATACACACCTATAATAAAGTTTAATTTATAAATTAAGCACAGTAAGAGATTAACAATAACTGATGATAAAAACAATTATAATAATATACTGTAATAAAAGTTATGTAAACGTGGTTTCCCCTACCCCCCACCTCAAAATAATCTTATTGTACTGTACTCATGATTTTCAGACCACAGTTGACCACAGGTAACTAGAAACCATGAAAAACAAAACCACATATATAGGTGGATGGGAACTACTCTTTATGATGCTAATATAATTTTGATACCAAAATCCAAGATAGTGTTAGGAAGAAAAATTACTGGCTAATCCAATGTGTGAATAAAGATGCAAAAATCTTAAATAACAAACCAAATCCAACACATTATAAAAAATAGTATATTGTGACAAATACAGTTTCAATGACATTTAAAGGATTTATTTAAACAGATTAAAATCCAACAGAATAAAAAACAAATTACTACTTCAAAGTACAAAGAAAAATAATTTGGTAAAATTTAATATCCATTGATTAAAAAAACCATTCTTAGCAAAATAGAAATAGAAATGACTTTCCTTAACTTAAAAGTAATCTACCAAAAACATAAAAAATAATACTTCCTGGTGAAATTCTGGCAGCATTCTCTTTAAAGTCAGAAATGGCAATCCCTATTGCCTGCAGTCACCACTTCAGTTCAATATTTTACCGGAGGTCTTAGCTTGGGCAATAAACAGGAAAAAACTTACTAGTGTTAACATGAAAAATCCAAGGCTACCATCAAATATTTAAATAATGTTTCTGTATTTGGTATTCTGTATTCAGCTTACCAAAACCAATGGCATTTCCTCATCAGCATCAAGCAATCTGAAATACAGTTTTATAAGAAAGGTAACATATGTAACTACCAAAAATTTATTAAGGTATCTAAAAATTAGTATTTTTTTAAAAAAATGTAAGACCTGTACAGAGAAAATAAATTATCAATTTTATTTAAAGATATAAAAGATCTCAACAAATGGAATTAATAATTCTCCCCATATAAATTCATAAATTCAATAAAAAACAATTTTTAACCCAATGAAACTTTCATGGAATTTCATAAGCTGATCCTAAAATTCAGAAGAATAATTAGTTGAGTAGAAATTTTGAATTTGAATAATAAAGATTTGGTCTGATCAAATTATCAGTACTTTTTATAAAACTCTAGAAACTAAAGCAGAGTGGGGTCAGTGAAACAAAATGGAGAGCTGGAAGCATTTATGTGTCTATGGAGAGAAATGGTATTATTATAAGTCTCAAGGAATGAAGCTGAGACAACTGTTTACCCATACATTAAAAGGTATATTTAGATTCCAACCTCACACTATGAACAAAAATAACTATTAGGTGGATTAAAGGACTAATGGATTAAAGAACAACTTAAAAACTCTAAGGAGAGCAAATAACAATCTATGAACTTCTGAAAAAGACAAAAAACACAAATCAGATTCACAATTTGCCATTAAAAAAGCCAAAGTCTAGAAGATATCTGCAACCCTCAAATAATCAGAACATAGAACACTTCCACATCAATACGGAATCTTTCAGGGATTCCACAGCAAGAAGAAGTAACTCAGAGGGGGAGAAATCTGAACAACAAATGCCAATAAAGGAAACGGTACTCAACCTCAACGGTCATCAAGGAAATAAAAATTTTAGTAATAGTGAGGTATCATTTCAAACCCACTCTAGTTGCAAAACAAGTAAATCGGATTATTCCACGTACTGGTGAGGATACAGGCACACAAGCACTCCTATAAAACAGTGAGTATGTAAATAAAGCATTTTGAGAGGAACTTATCAATGACTAGTAAAAGATGCCTTCCCAATGACCCAGCAGTCCATTTCTAGGTGTTTACACAGAGAAGCTCTCAGAAGTTATGTACAAGGAAATACAGGTAAAGATGCTGGTTGCACAGTGTTTGTAAGGGGCAAGAAAGTAGGAAGAATCTATGTCAGTAGAAAAATAGATAAACTATGGATTTTTTAATACAATAAACAAATATATAGTTAATTCATTAATCAGTGACTTTAATTCATCTCTACATAAGCACGGAAATTTCTGAAATGTAACTTTTGAGCAAAAAGACTTGTAAAATAATACCTAATTTGATAGCATTTATGCAAATTTCTAAACACAAAAATTGTACATAATGCTATGGATATATATGTGCGAAATAAAAGTATAACAGGCTTCAGCGTAAGTCACAACTTTAGAACACTGAGGAAGGCAAGGCAATGTGGTTTAGGTATATTTGTAATAATTTACTTCAGAGTAAAAGACAAGTAAAAAATGTTAAAATCTGTTTATCTTTTTGGTAGGTGGGCATATGATTTTTGTGTGAAGGGCTTTATAAGAAAGTTTAAACCATTACCACATTCTCACCAAGGAAAGCATTTAGCAGATATTAACAAAAGTAATAGGAAAACAATGATCACCCATTCCCCTATCCACAGAGCTAACTATTGATATTTTCTGTGTTTTTTTCTTTCCATATAATTAAACATAGACAATATTATTCTGTATACTGTTAAAACCTTTTACTTTGTTCTTAACATACTACAGGCATGCTTCTCTGTCATTACTTCAAACTTGTAAAATTTACAGATATCCATGGTAAAAAAAATTTTTTAAACTGCACAGGAGGATACAGAAATGAAGAGCCATCGTCCTTCCCTAGACTTCCATTGCCAAGAGTTTTCCATTCATCAGGTCCAGAAATTAGGCTTTTTTAACTTAGCAGAGTAGAGTACCTCTGTCGTGCCTCTGGGTGGAGGCAGAGCTCTCAAATTGTAATCTTTGGCAGGAGTTATTTTTTAGAGATAATACATTTGATCAGGGCAGTTAGAAAACATTAAATTTAAATCGACTTGTCCTTTTTTCTTATTTAAAACTTTAAATTTGTCTGATTACTACAATCACTTAAAACTAGAATAATTATTCACATTTAGTACAAGTGTTTCCTTTTAACAGACATATGGATATCCACTCTCCCCCTGCCTCAAAAAGTGTTTTTAAAAAGCAAAGAAAAAAAACTATTTAATCTAGAGAATGCGCACCTTCATGTACAATTCAGATATTAAACACGGCTTTTAAGAAGGAAACGCAACTTTTAAAAGCCACAGTTTTCCAACAAAAGCATATACTTATGAATCAGTGTTGCATCTGGCAAGCTTAAGGGCACATAATTCAAATAAACAAATACAAACTGACAATATTCAAACTGCAGAGCCGGTCCAGATCTAGACATAACTTTGCAACTATCACTACCTTGCGGTGTGGAGCAAGTGAAATGAATGCAGTCCCACACTTCCAGTGTTCACTGTATTTACAATCTGTCCACTCTTCCTTCCTCCTTTAGGAGTTGAGTGCCTCCTCACTCTCCTTGCATTAACTGTCTGCCATCAAACCAGAGAAGTAAAACCAGCAAAATAATACAAGTACATATCTAGAGTGAGTTAGTGGTGGAGCTAGGATTCAAATCCTTGTTTACAAGATCTTCCCCTAATTTTTATTTTTACTATACATTAAGTAGCCATTTAAAATGATATTTTCTCTGAAAGTTCAGCACTTCATTCCCACACTGATTTGGCATTTATAGTATGCTATCTTTACTGTCAGTTATGTTTTTATGTGACTCCCCATTTCAATTTAATTACAAGCAATGTTTTAAAAGCAAAGTCTTATATTAAACACTTAACATAATGTTATATGTAACAGTTGCTCAAATAAACATTTAATAATTAAATTTATAAAGCACTCAGATTTCTTTAAACGGTGTGTATAAATACATGACATAAATATACTTAGGCTATTTATATACGCATTTCATATGGTATTTTCAGTGAATATTTAAATTATTAACAAAAAGAGAAAATGAATAATAAATGAAATTTTTGTCACAGATTTCAAAGTACATGACTTCTAAAAGGACATGGGAGGAAATTACTTTAAAACCTGTACCAACACTTTTTGTTGAACTTGCCACTTACCGGGAAATTGTGACACTATTGGGGGTGTGTCTTCATCTAAGTCATCAACTCCTCCAGCAATTGGATAGGGTGGAATGGAGACTCTGGGCATCACCACCCAGCTGTGATCAGAATAAAGGGAAGAGGTCAGGCTGGGGAGTCCCGAGTTATGAGCTATCTGAAAGCCACAGATCTTCTCAATTTGTTGCCAGCGAAAAAGTCGTTCTCGTAAACAAGTTGTCAACTCAGAGAGAGCTTTCCTGGAAAAGTCAATGAAGAAATTACTTACTGCATCAAAAAGTCTTTAAAAGGCAATACATGAACAGACTGTGGCAATTAACTAATTTCAAGAAGAAATAACCCACTCTTAAAACTAGCATAAATTATGTAACTATATAGTTAAATGATAAATTTAAATATAAATTGTCTATAAATTACTCATTTCAACACAATAAACAATAAAGCAAATAAACAAATAGCTCAAATAACATTCTTACTTTGCTTCCAGAATTTTGTGGTCTACCTCATCTAGGGAGGAGCTGTGTGCAACGTGCAGAGTCCCAAAGACTGTGCTTCTCTTCTTTTTAATTTTTTCTGCCTAGAAACCGAAAAGGAATAAAATATCCTAGGTTTGAAAAAAATACAAACATTTTTGCATATATAAAATAATAAAGTTTATTTTGGTTTTGAACATATTAACAAATCAGAAACCAGTAGAGAATTATTAGCCAAGATATCACTGAATTCCAAAAAAGAAAACAGATGAGGGAAAAAACATGCTTTTCCAAGGCAATCAATGTAACCCAAAACTTTATTCTGGAGAATTTTTTTCTTATTTCTATGGTTCAGGAAGACTCGAATCTTCTACTAAAGTAACAGAAAAACATTAACAATATCCTACTAGAATGGTGCTAATGCATGAACCGAACTTTTAAATATTTTTTGCTAGAATTCAGATTAAGACTTATTCTCATTCCACACAATTTAAGTGTCAAAATTAATTTCCAGTAACTACTAACCTGAATCAGATATGAAGCAGCAACCCAGAGGGAAAAAGCTCGGTATAAAGCTTTGATAATGATAAAAAAGAATCTTTAAATCACTAAGGTCACTTTCAAAAGTATACACTTCTCTAGATACAGTAATTTTAATTTACAGCTTATGATTACTACAGTCTATTTACACAGTAAGTTCCAGTTCAAATAAAGAATCTGCAATAATAAAACTTTTATTTAGATCTGTGTACCCCAGTTGAATAATTCCTCTAAGAAGGCAGCCTAAGAAACAAATTTAGTAAATTTTGAAATACAAGAGAGTACCTCATCTTTAGCAATAGCTAGTTGCATTTCAGCGTTTTGTCTTTTAATATTGTAGTACTGCACTTCTACTTCATGTGTTAACTGAAGCCATTTCTGAAGTGCATCTGGAACAGACCAGCTGCTTCTCAGTTCAAATTCTTTTTCAGCCTTTTTCAGAGCCATGCGAACCTAGAAGAAGAAAAGGAAGAGGCAGGAAAGGAGAGAGAGAGGAAGAAAGGATTAAAATATTTTTTAGTACCCCAACTAAAAGAAAAAGCTATTTTAATTATGCTTTTTGTAGACATCGTTTTAAACTGCAGAGTCTAATACAATATATTACTAGCATTAAAATTAAGGCTGAAGTTTCATGTGCATCTTAAATCTACTAAGCAAAGTTGTGAAGCCAAGGTGGGTAGAGACAGCTTATTTATATCTTAAGTTGCAATATTATGAAAACCAGACTTACTGAGGGGGGAAAAAAAATCAAGGGTATATACAAATCAAAACTGATGACACTTTTCCCATAATGCATATTTCATTTATGAAGTATTATATAAAGAAGTGTCCAAAATTGGGTGGATACATGTTCTACTCCTCCTCCTAATGTTTCCAGAAGAGCCTACTGTAGCTCCTTCACTATATACTCATTTTTTTAATTGTATTTTTCTGTAGTTTTTCATGACATCTTCTTTATGGCCAGTTATTTCTTACTGTTGCAAGTATATATGCCTATTATTGTCTGTGTTACCACTTCTGCTACATAATTCACTGCTTTGAATATACCAGAAAGTAGCTAAGTGAACATCTGCAGACCATATACAGATTTTGAGAAAACAGATTCTGAGTGAGAATCTACTTGATTTTTTTCATGAGAAACTATGCATAGTCTTCAGTATAAGGATATCATAGTATTTCTTCTACCTGCCCTTTAATGAAGCCAGACAATAAACAGAGAAAAAACAAAAATGTTTGCTGATTAGGTGATAAGTGCTAAGAAAAAGCATCGTTAAGGAAAGCCTCACTAAGGAAATGACACGGAAGGGAACAGTAAATCATTCTTGGGATGATTTACTTAAAAACTAGCAAGTACTTTCAAACTAAAGCTGTGTAAAGATACAGGATGTAATTTATGAAATCGTGCACATACACTCACACTCAAGACCTTCAGGCAAAGCGATGAGTGAACTACGGAGCATCCTGTGTGCTGAGCACCACAATACAGATTGGTTTTCCCCAAAGCTAACTAAGGAAGCTAAAGAGCAAAGGAATGTTTGATATGAACAAACATCGTTTGCCAGAATAAACTAACAACAGTACTATACACAAACTTCTGATAAAGAAATAGAACAGCTGTCAGATAGTGAAAACGAAGAATTGTGTAGAAAAATCTCTTTTAAAATTCCAAAATTAAAAATGAAATCCACAAAGCAACAATAGGTGACAATTCAAAACGACACATTAAAGTAAGGGGAAGAGCATTAACTCACTGAAAACAAATCCCAAGCAACATGTGCCTACATGACTCACTGTGCAATGGCCTGGGACAATACTGTGTTTAATAAGTCAGTTAGGTAAGCTGTGTGGCGTCCCTGCTAATCTCTCAGGAAGAGAAAATTTAAGCTCAGGTTCCGTAACATGCAGACCTGCATAACACCACAAAATGCATGTCTGCAAGCCCTTGTTCTCACAAGATTTTAAAGCTAAAGTTTCTATACAATTTTCACTTCCAAGGAATTATACAGAGAATCTCAAAAAAATTCATTCAAGTTATTCTCTTTAATCATAGATTCTCCTTAATGACATTTCCATAAATGTATTTCCCCTAAAAGAGCTCAATGGAAACACTTTTAACATAAAAACTACTTATATATTTTTAGCATAAATTGAAGCTGAACAATGTTTATACTGATTGCCAAATAATGACTCAAAATGACTTGTGGAAAGTCTGACCTTCCAATAGTGGCTACTACTTAACTGTTTTCTCTGCTATTACTCATAAATGTTTCATTTGATCTAAATCTCAACCCTCAGTTTAAATAACACTGTTGTTTACAGGGGAATTAACACAGTTAAAATTGAGTAATTAACAGATTTTGCAAACAATAAATGTTTAAAATGTAATAATGATTTACATAATTTTTCTATCTCAGGAATAAAACAACAGTGAGTAAAAACATGATGTCACAGAAAGAATCAGCCGAAATATCTGAAAACTTGGTTTCTAGACCCAACTGCATTATTTATCATCTCTGTGACCTTTAGTAAGCGCTTAAGGCTTACACCAATAGGGGTATTATCACTTGTCCTAATTAAAGGCTTCCTGAGACTTTTTCTAAGAAACTAATTTGTGAAAAATATTTAAATCATACAAAAAATAAAGTGGTACTATTAGTTACCCAAAAGTCTCCATTCTAGGAAAAATAACACTATATAAAAAAAATACTAGATTTTCCTGACTTCTAAATTTATGTTGATTATTCTCCAGACAAAATACAGTAATTCTCTGAACTATGTGGAATTGTAGGTTATGTCATATTATACATGATTTCTCAGTTAAACTTACTTCTACAGGCAAAGCTTTTAATAGCAGTATGACAAAATACACACTATATTTAAATACAGACAAAATATAGTAATTCTCTGAACTATGTGGAATTGTGGGTTATGTCACATTATATATCATTTCTCAGTTAAACTTATTTCTACAAGCAAAGCTTTTAATAGCAGTATGAGAAGACATAGACTTTGGAATATGACATGCAAAGTCTTGCCTTTACCAGCAAATAGCTGTGGAACCCAAGGCAAGTTATCTAACCTCTCTACACGGCTCATCTGTAAATGAAGACAGTATCTTGTGTGTTGTGAAGATTAAAATATATGAGCAAACCACTGGCAATGTGTGTAGCATACACTTCCAGCACACAGTAAGTCCTTAGAAATTCTTGTTTCTCATTAATATAATCATGCCAGACAGTGTTGTTCTTAAAATACCAATTTCCTTCCTTTAAATCCCCTTTTATTGACCCAGGATCCAACGACATTACATTTGTACCAATACATCATCTCTTGGTAACTTTAAGGTCTACTGAGGTATGCATGGTCTCACTCCCAGAGCTTCAAGTTAGAATGTCCATAATTCTTGGAGCCTTTTTTTAATATTGTCTCTTCTTCTGCACTGTGAGGCAGTCACATGTGAAGTACTACCATCAGTTTACATCTCTGTAGAAGAATTCCAAACTACTGCTTTCTGATTTGCTCTTTCTTATCTACAAAGTTTAGAAAGACAGAAATATACCAGAACAAAACGAGAGTTGGACGTCATGGTGGAAAAAAGCAGGGAGTTGGTTCTTAACAGAGTGTAAAGGGCATAATACCCAAATCTCAGATACAGTATAATTTAGACTAGGCCTTTTTTGTCAACTCCCTGATTCCTTGCCACATTCTGTGCTGATATGCTTTGTTAGGTAAATGGGGTATGACTATAAAATATGCCTAAGAGTCCTTAGAGGGAAAAGATCCAAAAAACAGATGTCTGGGGGTGTGAGAGGAGTGGTTAACAGTTATAAAAAAGATGGCTATGTTCAATCAGACAAATTCTTATAATTTTGAAGAAAACAGTAATGCATACTGCATCTTTCTCATAAGTTGACCTTAAGTCATTAATCGCTTAATTTGCATTTCTTATTTAGCACTCAATTAAGAAGGCAACAACAGTGCATAAAACAAAGTGGAGGCAGAATACCTAGGTTCTTGCCTCTGCTTTATAACTGAGTCACCTCTAATTTTGAGCAAGTTTTACAATCCTCATTTTGTTCTTCAGTTTCATTATCAGTAAAGAAAGCATCAAAGTCAGAAGGAGGAGATGGGACCACAGAAGTAGAGGTTGGAATGACTCACTTTGAAGACAGAGGAAGGGGCCATGAGCTGAGAAACGTGAGTGGCCTTTACCGGTGGAGAAGGCAAGGAAAACAGGCCCTCCCCTACAGCCTGCAGAGCGAATACAGTCCTGCAGTCTAGCCTTACCTCACTCTGACCTCCAGATCTTTACAATGATAAATTTGTGTTTATTTAAACTGCTAAGTTTGTGGTATTTTTTTTTAAAAAGTAGGAATAGAAAACTAATGCATCTGCCTATAATTAAATTCTCCCAGAACCTCACCTTCTCTGAAGGACTCTGTCCAATGCCTAAATGCCTATATTCTATCTTAAGTAACTGAACAGGAAAAGCAGGTATTGGAAAGGACATCTTTTAGACAGCTTCAGAACTTTTAGCAGATTATGTTCTAAAACCATTTAACAGGATTCAAATGGATGTTTAATAGAGATCCTTTATCTTTGCAGAGAAGTTCAACATTAGATATACTTTATCTTAGTATATTATAGTCGGAAACTTAAACATATTACAGATGTTAAACAAACACCTTAACTTTACTCAAGACAACGAACATGGCAAGGGATAAGATTTCATGAATGAGTGAACATGATGATAACTTTATCTCTCAGTTACTACTGTGTTATTTTGCTATATGAACTTCGATCAGCCCTAATAACATAAACAAATGATTATTTTATCAGCTGAGGAACAGTATACAATGGAACTAAATGTAGGAAATTGAAGAAAAACAGGACCTGGCTCCTCAGAGTGGCAACGTTAACATCCTTACAAATGATTTTTTTTTTTTAATGTAAATACCTGTTCCAATTCCTGTTCTGCATACTGACGTCTACTCAATTCACATTCAGCACCCTCCCTTAGCTCTCTCAGCCGACAAGCCTCCTCCTTTGCGTAATTGATTTCATCCATCATTTTGCGCTCTAAATTTTGCTTTTCTACAGCAACATTTCTGTTTTCTTCCTGTGCCTTTTCAAGCCTTATAGAACAATAAAAATAAAAATTCCTCAAAAAAATTCCAAAGGTTTTTTTTTTTTTTTTTTTTTTTAACAAAATAATGAATACTGTGTCAGGCAATTAAATACATATTTCAATCAGAAATCATAGCATTTTTCATTAGCCTTAAGCTTGGTTAATAAAAATATCAGGCAACTTACTATACAGCTGTTTTGGTTACCATGGGCTCAAAAGACAGGGAAAGCAGAGAAATACTCTTCCACAAAAAGCTTTTTAAAACTTCGTAATTATTTAAATCAAGTTAAAAATAAAATTTAACTACATATCTAATTCCACTACATTTGACTTACCTCCACTGTTCTTCTACTCATTTATTCCCAAGTATTTACATTTATAATAAATCTGTAATTATGACAAAAATATACTTTTCTAAAAATATGATATCAAATATGCATATATTCCTAATGTGTAATAACCTAAATATAAGTGTTTAAGCACATGCCCATAAATTTTTTTACAAATTGTATTTGCCTACATAAATAACAAGATTTATGCTTTTTCTTTTTTTACTTACCTCTCTTGTAAGTCCATTAGACTTTGCTCTGCAGTTTGTAGGCTCTCTAAATCTTTCATCATTTTTGCAACATGTTCTTTTGATGTCTTATTCTGCGTATAAGCAAACCAGCACCCTCCAACACCAATTACTATAGAAACTGTGAGAATAAAATCCTTCATCCAGTTATGAGGTGGGCCTATAAAGAGAATTATAGATGATTCAATTAATCTTTGAATATGACAGGCCCTCAATACAAAAAGACACTTTTTAGGTAGTATTTAAAACAAAATGAAAAATTGGAGATTTCTTTCCCATGCACAAGCTCTAGCCTTTTAAAAATTCTTTCTTCATATAATGACTGTGCTTCTTATAACTCTTTGACATATGAGACTTATAGAAGGGCAGAGAAAAACCCATATGGACACACCATGGCCCTGCTGGTGGTAGACGGAATAGCCAAAGTCATGGGGACCCTTGAAAAAGCAACAGCACCTCAAATCATGTGCTGCCAGAATGGTCCTTTGTCGGGTGAAGGGAGTCATCAAAAGCATCACCACCATCATCCCGACTCCCTTCCTTCAGTCAAGTCAGGCAGCTGTCACATTTTTAGACACGCCTACAAACCTGATCACTCACCAAAAAGTGTTTTCCCAATTCGGTGTGGTTAATCTCAAGGTTGGTGATAATTCCTCACCCACCCCCAGCAGACATTTGACAATTTTGGGTTGTCTCAACTCGGGGGAGTGGTTACTGGCATCTAGTGGGCAGACACCAGAAATACTGCTGAACATCCTGCAGTGCACAAGACAACGCTTCCCTGTGGCCCCCTCTGCTGATAACAAAGACTTATCCAGAAACTATCCAGCCCAAAGAGTGACTAGTGCTAAGGATGATAAAGCCTGGGTTAAATAGTAGTAACAATTATCAATTTTAGGTGTATATTTGCCAAAGATATGGGGGTTACTGGCATGATATTAATCCCCAGCCTTATGTCCAAAATAAAGAGTGGGGAGCCAAGGCCTATTTAGAAGTGATACTGTGTTTTGTATCACTGAAGGTAGTGATACAAAATACAGAAATCACTATTCAAATTTCTTAATTTAGCCCCTCTGGAACAGAGACACATGATAGCTAATATATTATTTTAATGCTCCAAAGAGATACAGCGCACAGTGAAAAACCACCTAAATGCCCAGACCTCTAGTAGAAACACATTTTGCAGTTTGGTGACATAAAGAGTCCTACAGACTGACAAATCTGGGGTTTGGCTATGTTTGTGTAGTGTGGTGTGATATGCAGCATGCTCTATGTCAGAGATGCTCATTTATCCATATTGCCAGAGTGCACACCCGCAACCTTCCACGTGTAGTAGAAGAAACGTAGTGCTGAAAGCTACAATCTCAAAAGGATTTTTTACTTCTGCCTCACACTGAGACTTTCGGCTCAGGTTCTACTTCAACTATGAGCCCTATTCTTTGACTATAAATAACATTATACAAATAAGGTCTCACCCTCAGAAATAAGCACCACAGACTGGAAAAGATTTTAAAAAAACAAACATTCTTTTAAAATGTATCTCTGTTCATTTGACAATGCTGGTTTTTAAAATTAATGTGAGTGTTCTGACTAAGGGGCACATTTACTCAATCATCCTAAGAAAAGCATATTTAAAAGGTAATGTATCATTAACTTCTTCATTGGTTTACTTAAATGTTTGTTTATAATCTTCTTTGAGACTAGCGTGATTTCTTTTCAAATGACTTGGTAATATAATTTTGGGGGCTTGGAAAGGGGTTAGATCCAAGATTAATATGAATACTGCTGATCAAGTTGTAAATAGAAACAAATTCTATACTTTAATTCCTATTTTCACTAACCACTCACATGAGAAACATTGGACAGAATTCCACAGAAGACAATTCCCTATTGGAATCAGTCTAGAAGTGAGGACAAGGAAAAGGTTGGAAAGGGCATCATCTCTGTGGAACGCTCGGCATTTCGGTAGTGTTCTATTTCCTGGGGTTTGTAATTTCCACCAACAGTGTATTTCCACCAGCTCTCATAAGGGGAGTTCCAGCTGTTTCACCAGCTGCTCTTTTAGCCCAAGCCAAAAAAGGAACCATCAGTAAAGTCATAAAATCTATTCAACCAATTCTAGTAACCCTTTTTTAGAAGGGCCACTCCCAAGACAGTATCACAGAAACCTGAAAATCTCCTAACTCCAAGAATCCAGGGAGAATAAACATTAGTTTCCTACTTTATAACTTGTGGAAGCCATTTTTCTCGTATTAATTTTGTTATTTTTTTTTTGCCTTTTAAAAAATCAAACATAATTCTTTTAAAATGTGTACTCTTCAAACACTTTCTCCCAAAGCTTTCTGAAATTTCAAATTAAATAAAACATATTAAACATTTCTTCTGGGGAAAAATACTCCTGTCAAAGTAAATAAATATAAGGTTTATTTTCTTTACGGATATTGCGCAACACTTTCTTACATATTTCTCTTCAAAACAATCAAATAACATTTTCTACTTTGTGCTTCTGCCAGTATAGTCCGTTACTTTATAAAGCTTCAAGTGAGTCTTTGCTTTCCATCTATACCTAAAAAACCCTTTTCTTGGTATTTGGTGAAATTGTTAGGATCTATTGCTTCATGCCATCACGATGGTCAGATTGTGTTATTTTTTAAAAGACTCCTCAGTGAATATCCAATTATAGTAACATCAACATTAAAACTACTTCAAAAGTCCAAAGTTTTAAATCTAAAAATTCTAAATTGACAGCTAAGCATAGTTTTTCTTTTTTTAACAACTTCTTACATTAGTAAACAGCTTTAAAAATTTCATACTCAATGAGAGAAAATCACATTCTATAAATCTTTGTTTTAAGACAGTGTTACACTTCCTTCACAGCTAAGAGATGATTCTTAGATGCCTACTACCTTTCTTATTTTTTTCTTTCCTTAAATAACACAGAGATGATCAGAATATTCTTTTACATCATCTTCTGAGTGAGAGAGAATACTAACGTGTTATAGGTCCAAACAAAACCACATCCAATGCCTTGAGCTGAAGTTTTTGTCTGTGACTCCGATCACTGATTTTCAACTGGGAGATCATAAATGAAGGTTCGTGCACTGCTATCCTGTTTATTTGAAAAATACATAAATATATTAAATGAAAATATTTCTAGTATATAAATTTAAATATTTGAGCAACACATTTAATACTTTACATATTACTGATGATCACTGTTGGAGCTCATTCATGTGTGATTTAATAATTTGTTATATTTCAAAAACCTTTTCAATGCAAACTTAGCTGTAGAAAGACTCCTGTATGTTAATCATTTAATAGCTACATTGAAAAGTTTCTGTTTTCTAAGGCTACTTTCTGTTATGACTTACTATGATTTAGAAATTTATAAAGTTGAAAATATTTTATAATCATTAATTACTTCTGGCATTTATTATCCTTTCACAAAAGATAATAAAATTGTAAGTAACTTACTTTAACATCTATAGCAGACTTTAAAAAAGTTTTCAATTTAGATCACATTGCTTTTCTTTAAAACTATCAAAAAATCTATACCTTTACATTCTAATGTTTAAACTGTTTAAAAATTAAACAAAAAACATCAAAGTCACAAGTGGGGAACAGAAGCCTTCACAGATTGAAGTAGGTAGGTAGAGGGATTTATATAGTAAGTAGTACTAAACGATTTTATTAGCTATGAAGAAAGCGTGTAGGGGACACAAGTAAAATAAGAAAATAAAATTATTTTATTATGGAGTGTAAATACAAGCAGCCCAGTACTCAATTAAGATTTCCTAACAACCACGTATGATGCTAGTAAAGATTTTATTACACAAATAATAATAAAATTAATAACAATGACAATAAAAACAAGCATATAATACATGCTGGGTTGTGTACCAATGGCTTAATACTCAAGAAAACCTTGTAACAGTATTTCCATTTTATAGGTGAAGATAATTGTGAGAGGTTGAGTATCTTGCGTAGATATAATTAGTAATAGGTAAGGTAAGGATTTGAACCGAAATATGTATGATTCCAAAGACTACTCTGAAACACAACATTTTGTGTAAAAAGATATCAGTACTCTCTAAGTATGGAGAAATTACAGGAACTCCTATGAGTCTTCTATAAAACCTTAAGCAAAGAATTCTAACATTCCCTCTCTAAAATGCCTTCCTTTATCTTCTCCACAGATACATTTCCTATAATGCTTCCCTTACACCTTTAACATGACACTTACCAAACTGCATGAAGGCAAAGACTATGTCTTATCTCTGTATCCCCAAAGCCTAATGCAGTACTGTTTGTGTAATAGCTAAATGAATGCATGGATGGATGGATGGATGCATGAATTAACAGCAATACTATCAATAGACTAAGACAAGGAAATGTAGTAAAAAAGAAAATATATAACAGAATTTTATGCAAGGTTCAGTATGAGTACAGAGGTAAAAATGATTCCACCTGAGTGGGTTAGAGTGTCAGGGAAGGCCACATAGGCCTGAAAGAGATGAGGTGGTATGTGACAGGTAAAAAGTGCCTTAGTATAATCTTTGGTAGTAAAAATTACAGAGTATAGAAAACACAGTAAAAGGTTTAAGATAACTGCTATAACAAACACAAAACTAACATAGTTTTGGCTACCTTTAGCAGATGTAAAGGGTTTTAATGTCACTGAAAATAAACATCGTAATGAACTGTTGTAGGCCAACTACCTAGAATATGTAATACATTTTCTTACACATTCCTGTAACTAGCTCTTATGTCTACAGATACCATACAAAGAGTTCTGGAACTTACATAATAATTGAAATTAACTGATATTGCCCCTTCGAGTTGACTCATCTAATTTCATTACTATATAACAGGGGCTTAAGGAAGAGTTTACTGTTTTCCTTTCTCCTCCACTAAAAAATGTTCCAATGGGCTGACCTGAGAACTGAACTTTTATATTTATAACGTTTTTCTATAGTAACCTGTGCACTACTTAAGAAGTTGATCTTGACAAGTACCTGATGTCTCCACAATTTTACCAGAATTGGAAGCATCTCTGATTAATCTTTACTGAACCAAAAGAAGTAAGTAGCTACAATGCCGACTGTCAAAACACAGATCAGCCTATTTTATTTCATGTTGTTATATAAAGAAATTTCTCAAAAGATAACAAGAAAATTCCTATTGTTCTTCAAACCCAGAGCAACATATATAAATCAAAAAACTCATATCTTATTTTAATGTCCTACTCTGTTGTAACTTAGGAACTTGTTTTAATTAAAAGCAAGAACTATAATTTATTTAATCTTTGTCTTCTTTCTAGTGTCTAGTTGTACCATGAACATAAAAGATATTCAGTAAGTTCTTACTAAATGACTCTTATTCCCATAATTTCATCATTCTAGTCAAGTGTATAATAAAATTAGAAATACTAATGTTGATATTCAGAATACATTTAGGGGAGATTTGAAAACTTCCAACTTGATCCAAAATACAAACCACAAAGCAACAAAGGATACTTATTTAAATAGGGCATGTAAGGAAGTTGACTAGGGATACAATATATATATTTCATTACATATAATGATTAGATTGTAAAAAACTGATTGGAGTCTTTTTTGATGTAGGAAATCATCCAAGGAAAAATAAAACTTAAGAAGCAATCTTGTAAGGGTAAAAAGTTCTGGTAGAATCATTGCAAATTTTGACATTTAAATCCTTCAAGTTCATTAAGTTAATTAAATTAATTAGGAATTATAACTGTATATATTATATAATTAGAAATCATGATTAGAAATTATAATTGTATCATTTGCTATTTGCAACACATCTGCTTCCAAGAAATACATATTCTATAATTTGAGACTATAATGATGTTAGATTGCATTTTCAATTTAATCAACAGTAAGTACTAAAATTGTATCTAGCACTCTATGAGAAGAAAAGCTTACAATCAAAAACAGAAGAGACAGATAAAGGCAATTAGGACAAAGATTAGCATGCGATTTGCAAACGATATAATTTAGATATAATTTAGAAAATAAAATTTAGAAAACAACTGGATTCAGACATCTAAGGGAAAAACTGGCAACCTGGACTTTGCTATCAGATCTATCTGGGTTTAAATGCTTCCTTGGGCAAAATGTTTAACTTGTCTGTGACTTGGTTTTTTTTTTAACCTGTAAGATGAAAATGACAATATATGCCTCATTTTAATCATGAGGGTTAAATGAGATAATACAAAGTACTTCTATGTAACATAAATTTTATTTTTATTAGTTTCATTTTAAAAATTCAGGTATAACTTATAGACACCATAATTAGGTGGTTATTGTCATTTAAAAAGTAACAAGAAAGAGATGAACATCAATACATTCAAGAAGGTATGTCCATAAAAATGAATCAGTATCAAATGAAAAATTTTTTCTTAGGTTGGTCAAAAGTTGACCCTTCATGTTATTTACAGATATAGTTGATACTTTTCCTCATACTGAGGACAACATATATAAATCAAAAAACTCTAATCTCATTTTAATGTTCCACTCTGTTTTAACTTGAGTATCACCTTCTGATACTCAAATTACGTTCCTTGGAAATAATTTTTTTCAAGAGCCTGATTATTTAGACAAGAAAAATTGATTAAAACTTGAAAATGCATACTTTAAAAAGATTAAATAATAGACATATTTCCTTTGTGACCTCAGACACAGAAGTAACTTGTAGATTCAGTACTAGAAAATGACATCTAGCATGTAATTCTCCCTGAGTGGAAAAATACATTTGCATAACAAAGATTCACCTGGGAAGTGTTGTTCCTTTGACATTATTGTCTCTAAAATTCTTCTCATATTGGGGTAGTTCAACAAACTCTATCAACCACTGAAGAGTATCTTCAAGGGTCCAATTATGAACTGTAGGAGATAAAAGGGGAATGTGAATAAACACACCTGCTTTCAAGAAATACATATCTATAGTTTCAGAAAATATAATGATCTTAGATTGTATTTTCAATTTAATCAACAGTAAGTACTAAAATTGTATCTAGCACTGTATGAGAACAAAGGCTTACAATCAAAAACAGAAGAGACAGATAAAAGCAATTAGGACACAGATTAGCATGATTAATTCTAAAATAAACACCTATACAAAGTTTGCGCAGGATGAAATAATCTATCATTTCTCTAGTTGTAGAAAAATTACCAGATATGTATTTGTTCAATCTTTCATTTCTATACTGTAATACTGAAAACATTATGAATACCAGGTTCCATTCTAAGCACTGGGGATATGGCAGTGAACACAACAGATAAAGTCCTTGCCCGTATGGGATTTAAATTACTTTAGGTTTAGGGAGGGGCACTTAATGAAAGAAGAAAGAAGAGGAAGGGAAATTTCAGATAGTGATTAACTTAAGAAGGAAAGATGTCAGGGTAAGCCTCTCTAAGGAGTTGACCTCTGAGACCTAAAAACTGCAAGGAGCCACATTGTGAAGATCTGGGTGAAAAATATCCCAAAGAGAGAAAAAGGCAGTTAAAAAAAAAAAAAAAAAAAAAAGCCTTCAAATGGAATGAACTAGCACTGTTTGAGAAACTGGCAGAAAGTCAGACAGGAGCTAGGTCATGAAAGGCTTTCAAGAACTCTGGATAGTTTCTAATTTCAATTAAAAAAAAAGAGGAATAATCTGCTTTTAGAATATTGTTCTTCAACGTGGAGAATGGATTGTTCACGATAAGACTGGAAATGGTCCAGCCTTATCGTGAAATATGGAGAAATAAGGAGACCACTCCTTACATAACTGCCTAGACAGGAAAGGGTTATTGTCTTAGCCTATTGTGGTAGTAGATAAGATGACAACAAGGAGTCAGATTCAGGATGTATTCTCGGGATAATGCTATTAAGCTATGCTGATGAAATGGACAGCGGCTGGTAGCTAAACGAAAGCCAAAAGTACAGAGGGTGCTGCCATTAACTGAGATAGAAAAGAATGTGGAGGAGCAGCTTGGGGAAAGGAGCAGGGCCAGGTGACAGAGCTCAAAAATTGTTTTAAGACATGTTATGTATGAAGTATGTATATGACATTTAAGTGTAGATAATACAGTAGCAGTGAGATATGCAAATCTGGAGCTTAGGAAAAAGTGAGGTTAGGAACAGAGGCTAGTGGGAAGTCATCAGCATATAGGTGATCTTCAAACTGAATGACATCAACCAGAAAAGACAGCTATTAACAGATTCCAGGAGACTGGACCTAAATCAAGAATAAAATGATAACTAACATCTCTTCTCCTAGATACTTATTTTAAAGTAAGTCCTTTGTATGCATTTTCTTCTTTAAGTCTTGGGAAAAAAAAAAAACAAAAAAAAACTTAGGAGATTCTAACATAAGTATCTTTATTTTGGAAATTAAAAACTAAAAAGCGAATTGAACCAACAAGCAGGACTGGATTTAAGCTCAGGCAAACTGTGCACAGAACATGCCTCTATACTACTCTGAAAGTAATAATACTAAATATCTGTAAAGATATAAACAAGCAGTTAAGCACTGGAAGCAGTTCAGAGGTTTCCGCTTATGAAGAGTAATGATGAGTTTGGGCAAAGAGAAGGATGCAAGTGTGCTTAAAAAATGAGAAGTTCTACACTGTCTGCATTTAATTTGAGGGTTTGGGAAAACACGATGCTTACAGATAAAGGAGTGTGAAGAAAATGTGAGCAATAAAAGCAGGTCTGGGAATCCATCTGTATATAAATAAATCTGAAAAAAATCTTTCCATAAGCACTGTGAATTCATACTTGCAAGCAAAGCTAGGTTTCCATCAATCTGCCTTTTTTATTAAGTGTTCTTTAGAGAAAAAGCTTAAATAAACCACAAACAAAAACCAAAAACATTTAAAAACTAGATGTGGTCATTGAAAGTTTTATATTGAAACAAAGCTTTGACTGTTCTCCCCTTCATGTGTTCCTATCATAAAACCTGGACATGAGCCTGAGGCTGCCATATCCATTTAACCAAATAACAGGATGTCAGCCGAAGGTTCAGGCCCTGGGTGTTTTCCACTGAATTTAGTACATTCAAAGTAGCCTTTTTACTCTTAAGTTTTTTCCTATTCAAGATGAACTGCATTGAGAATTGCCCTGTCCTGGCTGCCAAGAAACTCATGGTGCAGCTGCACCTCACACACCCACACAAAATCCCCAGCCAAGAAAACAAGATAAGATTCTCTCTTTCTATGACTGTTCAACAGTGAAAATTCCTGATCTAAACACATCAAAGTCATCCCTCGATTCCAAATAAGCCAGTATAGAATGGAAGAAAAATCAAATAAAAAAGAACATATTAAAACTGCCCAAATCTTAGTAATACTCTACCTAGTATTACTAAGTAGTGGTCTATTTAGTAATGCTAAAAAGTAATACAATTTTTAAAAAATTAAAAATTGTAGTGGTCTTGACAACGAATCTTTAAAACAAAATTCTAACAGAACAGTTCACTTTGGGGGGAGGTTCACTTCTCCTTTTGCTGTGGTTTCCTTGGTGATACTTAGTAAACACCTTCACTTCTCTTCTCATGACCAGGACTTGCATTTTTTATTAGCCTTCTCTGTTCCAAATACTCTAGTTGTCTTTCAATTCTTAGGACAGATCATATCATGTCCTTCAGGGCCTCTGTATGTGCTGTATGCCGAGTATAAGCTCCTTTTCTCCATCTCTCTGCCTTTTTGTTTTATTAAACCTTCATATCTCAGTTAAAACTTTAATTCCTCAAGTGAGCCTTTCTGAACACTGCTATATAACCTTTTTTCCCCTTTTTTTGTAGAGACGGGGTCTTGCTATGTTGCACAGGCTGATCTCTTGAACTCCTCAGCCTCGCAAAGTGCTGGGATTACAGGCATAAGCCACTGCACCCAGCCTCTGATTATTAATCCCTTGTTAGCTTTTATGCACAGCATTTAAATAACTACTTATTTGTATGATTATTACTGCAACAACTGTTTATTTCAGTAAAGAATAAGTCTTCTACTCATCACTCTACTTAACCAAATAACAGGATGTCACTTGGTATAAAGGTGCTCAACAAATTATTTGCTGGATGTTGCTGAATGAAGTAGAACATGTTTAATTAGTAAGTCTTATGAAAATCTGTTTTTACATTTTAGTGGTGACACAAACAAGAATTTGTATGTATAAGTAATTCTTTTTTAACACTTTTAAAATTTCAATAGCTTTTGTGGTACAAGTGATTTCTGGTTACATTAAGAAATCCTTGAGGGTAAAAGTTAACTCATTTAAGAATTATCTGGTTCCTTATTACCTACCTCTCACTGGTCTTTTATACATACTGTTGCACTTCCATCAGAGGGCAAGCAGAGCAAGATACATCATTCCTTTTAAAAGTTTATTTCCCAATCTGCAGAGCTACAGAAATGCCAATCTCTAAAATGTTAACTTATATTGTTTCTGTTTGAAACTGTGGCCAGTGCTATATATCAGTGTCTCAAAGTGATTTTTGGCAATTTAATCTAAGGCCAATAAAAAGAACTCTGAAATGAAAACAGATACTTTGACACACATATACAATGTGTGATGATCAAATCAGGGTAATTGGGATATCCATCACCGTAAACATTTATCTTTTCTCTACGTTGGGACCATTATAATTCTCCTCCAGCTATTTGAAAATACACAATAAATTACTGTTAACTTTAATTTCCCTACTTTACTATCAAATCGTAGAACTTATTCCTTCCACCTAACTGAATTTTTGTACCCATTAACCAACTTCTCTTCATTCCCCTCTTCCCTTCCCAGCCCCTGGTAACCACCATTCTACTCTATACTTCCATAAAATTCACTTTATTAGCTTCTACATCAGAGTGAGAACGTGTGATATTTGTCTTTCTGTGCCTGGTTTATTTCACTTAATATAATGACCTTCAGTTCCATTTTGCTGCAAATAACCAGATTTTATTCTTTTTTATGGCTGAATAATATTCCATTGTATATATGTATCACATTTTCTTTTCCCATCAATCTGATGATGGACACTGTGGTTGATTCCACATCTTGCCTTTTGTGAACAGTGCTGCAGTAAACATCAGAAGGCAGGTATCATTTGAAACAATGACTTCCTTTCTTTTAGACATATATTCAGCAGTGGGACTGCTGAATCATAGGTTAGCTCTATTTTTAGTTTTTTTGAGACACCTCCATACTGTTTTCCATAATAGTTGTAGTACTTTACATTCCCACCAACAATATATAAGAGTTCCCCTTTTTCCACATCTTCGATGGCATTTGTAATTTTTCATCTTTTTGATAACAGCCATTCAAACTGGGGTGTGGTGATAACTCACTGTAGCTATGATTTGGATTTCCCTGATGATTAGTGATACTGAACATTTTTTCATCTACCTGTGGGCCACTGATATATCTTTATGCCTACTCAGGTCTTTTGGCGATTTTTTTACTTGTTTTTCTGCTGTTGAGCTGTTTGAGTTTCTCATATATTCTGGTTATTAATCTCTTGTCAGAAGGACAGTTTCAAATATGTTCTCTCATCTCATAGGTTGTCTCTTCACTTTGTTCATTGTTTCCTTTGCCATGCAGTAGCTTTTTAGCTTGATACAATCCTATTTGTCTGCTTTTGCTTTTGTTGCCTATGCTTTTGAGGTTTTAACCCAAAAAACTTTTTGTCCAGACCAATGCCTTGCAGCCTTTCCTATGTTTCCAGTAGTTTCAGATCTTACATTTCAGCCTTTAATCCATTTTTAGTTGATTTCTGTATATGGTGGACATCTAGATATCTCTTCTGCATAGAGATATCCAGTTTTCCTAGCACCATTTGTTAAAGAGGCCATTCTTTCCCCAATGTACATTCTGGGTGCCTTTGTTGAAAATGAGTTGGCTGAAAGTGTATGGGTTTATTTCTGGGTTCTCTATTCTGTTCCACTGGCATATATGTTTGTTTTTATGCCAGTACCATGATGTTTTGGTTATTATTGTTTTGTAGTATTCTTTGAATTCAGGTAGTGTGATGCCTCCAACTTTGTTCTTTTTGCTCAAGATGCTCTAGATATTCATGATCTTTTGTGGTTCCACATGAATTTTAGTTTTTTTTTTTCTATTTCTGTGAAGAATATAATTGGTATTTTGATAGGGATTATATTAAATCTGTAGATCACTTTAGGTAGTAAAGACATTTTAAAGAGAGGAAGTCTTCCAATCCATGAGCATAAGGTATCTTTCCTTTTTTGTGTGTCCTCTCGAATTTCTTTAATCAGTGTTTCATAATTTCCCTTGCAAGGATTTTTCACCTGCTTCGTTAAATTTATTTCTAGGTATATTTTTTGGTACCCATTGTAAATAAGATTGCTTTCTTGATTTCTTTTTCAGATTGATCTCTGCTAGTGTATAGAGATTTGTAGGTTGATTTTGTATCCTGCAACTTTACTAAATTCATTTATCAGTTCTAAGAGTTTTTTGGTGAAGTCTAGGTTTTCCAAATATAAGATCATGTCATCTTCAATCAAGAATAATTTGACTTTTTCCTTTTCAATTTTAACGTCTTTTATTTCTTTCTTTTGCTTAATTGCTCTAGCTACAATTTCTGGTATTACACTGAATAAAAGCGGTGAAAGTGGGCATGTTTGTCTTGTTTCAGATCTTAATGGAAAGGCTTTCAATTTTTCCCCACTCAGCATGAAACACACAGCTTCTGGGCTTGTCATATATGGCCTTCATTGTGTTGAGGTATGCTCCTTCTATACCTAATTTGTTCAAAGTTTTTATCATGAAGGGATGCTAAATTTATGCAATGTTTTTTCAGCATTTACTGAAAAGATCGTACGGTTTTTGACCTACGGAAGTGATGTAGCACATTTATTGATTTGTGTGTTGAACAGTCCTTGCATTTTAACATGTCAAATAATAAAATTGATGTAGACCACCTTTAAAATTCATTTAAACTAGGCCAGGTACAGTGACTGTCTGTAATCCCAGCACTTTGGAATACCGAGGCGGGCGGACCACCTGAGGTCAGGAGTTTGAGACCACCCTGGCCGACGTGGCAAAACCCTATCTCTACTATAAACACAAAAATTAGCCAGGTGTGGTGATGCATGCCTTTAATCCCAGCTACTCAGAAGACTGAGGCAGGAGAACCTCTTGAACCCAGGAGGCAGAGGTTGCAGCGAGCCAAGACTGCGCCACTGCACTCCAGCCTGGGATACAGAGCAAGACTCTGTCCTCCCTCCAAAAAAAAACTTTTTTTTTTTTTTTTCATTTAAACTGTTTCTATGATTCCATTATAATGAACAAGACTTAGTATTAATAAAACATCGTTAACTAAAGTGTTAGCCTAGAATGGTAGATTACAGAATACTGAGAGGGAAAGAATGGCCCTAAGAACTTTCAGGATAGCCATGAAAACTACTAACATTTATTAAGTGTTCATTAAATACCAGGAGATTTGCAAGCATTAATTCAAATGATCCTTGCAATAACCTTTTTAAGTAGATACTTTTATCATTACATTGAGGCAAGGTTCTTAATTAAGTATAAAAGATTAGCAAATGGTCAAACCAAGTTTCAGACCAAACCTGTTTTTAGAGTTGTAATGTTAAAACATTGTGTTTGCAATGTTAAAACATTATGCAATGTTAAAACCTTTCAGACAGCCGGGCGCGGTGGCTCAAGCCTGTAATCCCAGCACTTTGGGAGGCCGAGGCGGGTGGATCACGAGGTCAAGAGATCGAGACCATCCTGGTCAACATGGTGAAACCCCGTCTCTACTAAAAATACAAAAAAATTAGCTGGGCATGGTGGTGCGTGCCTGTAATCCCAGCTACTCAGGAGGCTGAGGCAGGAGAATTGCCTGAGCCCAGGAGGCGGAGGTTGCGGTGAGCCGAGATCGTGCCATTGCACTCCAGCCTGGGTAACAAGAGCGAAACTCCGTCTCAAAAAAAAAAAAAAAAAAACCTTTCAGACATATAGTACTAATAGTAATACCAAAGTTAAATGTTATATATGAGCAATCTGCCACAGGCAATTACACTCATGGACTCAGGATTCTCCTAGACATCAGGTATACATTGGGGCCTACTAAAGGCTCAGAGGGAGTAACAGAAAAGCTCAATGGAGCTATGTCAATTCTTCATCATGGAGGTGATTCCTACAACTTGCAAGATGGGCTCTAATAGCCTGAAAGACAAGATTTCAAACAGCCAGGAAATTCAGAACTGCAGCACAGCTCTGGAACAAAGGAGATGGTGGGGGATGGGAGAGTGGGGACAGGATGGTGTGTGGAACCAAAATTCCAAGAGATGAGAGGGTATGGTGAGGAAGAATGTGGGGAAGGGCAGGACCATACATTTGGGGATTTTCACAGAATAGAGGGTTCACCTTTTCATTACTCCTCACCCATGCTGCTGTCAAAAGGGCAACTTCTACAACAGAGAATGAGATTCCTGATTCTGCACCCTAACAGTTTCCCTTTCTTCTCCCCATCTACTTGCTACTTTTAGTCCCACCACCATGTCAGTATTTTGGATCAGTACTTTAAAAAGGATGAAAACTGTGCCTAACAGCAGAAAGCTTTTTGACAGCAGTGGGGTCCTAATCATGGGGAGAATGAAGGGATTGTAAGGGCTGAAAATAGCCACCAACAGAGAAGAAAGGCAACTGGCTGTGGCCACCCAGCTGAAGCCACCTTCCAAAAAAGACACAAGTCATGCATAGGTACATCCCAGTTGTACAACTAGGTTATAAGGAGATGAAATACTCTAGCTGAAAGCAATCTCTTCCTCCCCTGAATTGCTATAGAGCTTAACTATTTCTACCAAATGGCACATCATATGGGCTGCCTTACTTTGCAACTATTTGTTTAAATCTTATGTTCCTACTATATTGCAAGCTGCTATAAGACAAGGACTGTAGAAAACATATCAAGTTGCCATTTAAGTATTAGCTGAATAGTATAACTACCTTTTGTCTTCCTTAACCTGTTTTAATTATCTATTTGCTAGCCCATAATTGTGTGAAAGATCAACAATACTGTCTGCCTGATAGCTCACTTTAAAGCAGCCATGGTGAATCCTAGGCTCCAGAGAACCAAAAAGACTATAACGAAGTGAGGTAACAATTTAAAAGTTGTGTGGTTGACAGTGGTTTCAGAAGACAGTTTGTGTGCCTTGCTTTAAGCAAACCTGATGTAAACAAATCAGTATAAAAGATAAACTTTCAGGCGGATCACAAGGTCAGGAGTTCGAGACCAGCCTGGCCAAAATAGTGAAACCCCGCCTCTACTAAAAATACGAAAATTAGCAGGGCGTGGTGGCAGGCACCTGTAGTCCCAGCTACTCCGGAGGCTAAGGCAGGAGATTCGCTTGAACCCCGGAGGCGGAAGTGGCGGTTATCCGAGATCATGCCATTGCACTCCAGCCTGGGCAACAAGAGAGAAACTCTGTCTCAAAAAAAAAAAAAAAAAAAAAAGATAAACTTTAAAAGATGAAAATACATGTATTTACTTCTTCCTTTCATCTATAAAAGGCAATCTTATAAAACTAATGTACCCAGAGCACTTAGCCATATGTCTGTATTAAGTTACAAGCCTAAAAATACAAAACAGCCTAGTGAAATACTACCATATAACTTTTTATTTGTTATGTTTAATATAAGTACATACTATCCAAAATATCTTTAAAGATGATCTGTGAAATCACCTAAATACCGTGGGGGAAGAAACAAACTTCTAATAATAAAGCATTTTTGTGTATGTAGAGACATGTTAATAATAGTACTACCAAACATTTTGTGAGCACTTGGCAATTTCCAGTAACTGTGCTACATGCTTTACATAAATTATCTCATGAAACTCAAAAACCCTATGAAGCAGGTATCAGATATATAACATTATAATCCTTGGTTTATAGATCAGTAAGCTGAAGCTCAGAGAGTTTAAGCCCCTTGTTCAAATTCACACACCAAGTAAGTAGTGGAAATAGGATTTAGAACTATGTCCACTGAGTTTAAAGCCCAACTCTTAACCATTTCCTGAGTTCTGAGAAAACCTCAAACCTCAAGATACAGCTGAATTCACCATCAGTTGTGGCAGACCTTGGATATAACAAACATACACATTACATTTATTCTGCTTTTCTTTATTTCTTTTTTCTGAGATAAGAGTTTCACTCTTGTTGCCCAGGCTGGAGTGCAATGGCACCATCTCGGCTCACTGCAACCTCTGCCTCCTAGGTTAAAGTGATTCTCCTGTCTCAGCCTCCTGAGTAGCTGGGATTACAGGCATGCGCCACAACACCTGGCTAATTTTGTATTTTTAGTAGAGATGGGGTTTCTCCATGTTGATCAGGCTGGTCTCGAGCTCCCAATCTCAGGTAATCCATCCACCTTAGCCTCCCAAAGTGCTGGGACTACAGGACCGAGCTACCGCACCTGGCCTGCTTTTCACTTTTTAATAGCTTTCATATTACTTTTTAAAAACTACTATATTCTAAATTTATAATTTAAAAACATTTGTAATGTCTTTCTTAATGTTAACAATGCAACTGGCTTGTTAAAAGATTTTTTTTTTTTTAATTAAAAACAGCAACTGGCATAAAAGTTTCTTTGGGAAAATTAATGTATGTTAGAGAAATCAACTTCTGATATCCTGAGATAGGAGAGTAGAGTTAAAAACAGTACAGGGCTGGTCGTGGTGGCTCACACCTGTAATCCCATCACTGTGGGAGGCCGAGGCAGGCAGATCACAAGGTCAAGAGACTGAGACCATCCTGGCCAACGTGGTGAAATGCTGTCTCTACTAAAAATACAAAAAATTGGCTGGGCGTGGTGGTGCCTGCCTATAGTCCCAGCTACTTGGGAGGCTGAGGCAGGAGAATTGCTTGAAACCTAAAAACAGAAGTTGCAGTGAGCCGGGGTTGTGCCACTGCACTCCAGCCTGGTAATAGGGCAACACTCTGTCTCCCAAAAAAACAAAAAACAAAAAACAAAAACAATAACAGTACAGACTGTTGCAAACAGTATGTGTTACAAACACATACTGCCTTCTCTTAAAGCATGAAGACATCTTTATATGTACCAAAAGGTTTGGCAAGAGGGTCAGGGAGAAGAAAGACTAAACATTATTAATAAAAGTAACTGTATTTAAAGTTGGCTATGTGAAATGTTTATAGAAGTTAAAAACTTATTAGCAGTTTGAAAAATATTCATGTTATTCGAATGTTTATATAAAATATCATATTCTAAAACAACACAGGTATACACCAGTATTCACTACTTTTAAATCCAACTTTTAAATCAACTGAGTTTTTCAAGTTACAAAAATCTCAATTTCTCTTTACACTGATATACATAATTTATCATAGGAAAACTCAATTAACCTAAGGTTCAATATTGCAGGGATTTAAAAATAAGAATTTTTTAACTAATACAAAGAAAATAATTTTTCAAATATAAAAGTTGAGTAAAGTGTGAGGCCTTTCACATTTCATCCAAACTCAATTGGTTTGATAGACTCTCTGGTGTCACTTCTGAATGAGACTTTAGATGCTCAGCTGCTCAGCCCAGTCAAGACAGGCTTATGTTTAGAACAGTGCCAGAATATGAGCTCCTCATTTGAACAGTGGTCAGCAGGGCATGTCTTTGTAACATGGACTAAATTCCTGCAACATGCTATATTTGGATACCTAAAGCCACACCCTGAACTTGAATTCAGATATTGGTTGTACCAAAGCGAAATACATACTTTTGCTCATGAGCTCCTTTTCTTTAATTATGCAAGAATTACACGTAATTTTTAGAGACACTAGGTAAATGCTGGCAAATGTTTGAACATTCAGAACTTAAAAATTACCAAGGTGTTTTGTTCTCACAGGGAATACTAAGGGAAGGCTTTATTACCTTTTCTATTATAAACTGCAATCTTATCATCAATAAAACTAAGTATACTATCAATACCTAGTTCCATGAAGATGTTGAGAAATAACAAAGATATACATTAAAAGTAGAAATTGAAGGGTGGGTGTAGTGGCTCAGGTCTGTAATCCTAGCACTTTGGGAGGCAGAGGCAGGCAGATCACTTGAGGCCAGGAGTTCAAGACCAGCCAGGCCAACATGGCAAAACCCCATATCTATTAAAAATACAAAGAAAAATTAGCTGGGTGTGGTGGCATGCACCTGTAATAGCAGCTACTCAGGAGGCTGAATCAGGAGAATAACTTGAACCTGGGATGTGGAAGTTGCAATACGCCAAGATCGCACCACTGAACTCTAGCCTGGGCAACAGAGTGTATGAAATTCCATCTCCAAAAAATTAAAAATTAAAAAAAAAACTGGAGAAATGATGGGTCCCCAAATCATATGGCTGTCCTGAAGATTAACTGACCAAATGTATGTGAAAACAACTCTTATGAATGTACTCTACAAAGGGTAAATTATTATCATCATACAATAAATATGGGATCAGAAGGATTGTATATTCAAGGAAATTCAAGGAATATGCTTTCTTTATAAATGATTCAACAAAAGCAGTGGACTCAATGGCCATAAAAGAACTAAATAAATGTTTAATCAAGTTATCCTTAACAACTCATTATGGGTGTCACTGAAAATATTTATCACTTTATACTCAGCTTTCTTTTTCTTTTCTTTTTTTTAAAATACTTACTGATCTGAGGAAAAAAAAGAGTATTTCTTGTGAAATGAAATTAAGTTCTTTAAGGGCAGGCAGTGTTTACTCTTCATTCTGCATTCCCTTACATGTTGTACAATGTCAAAAATACAGCAGGCACTTAACAAACGTGGAATGGCAGATACGTAGTGGGACCTCAATTAGTATTTACTGGATGAGTGAATGGATGACAACATGATTCTGTTAACCAAGACTGCCAAGGAAAATGTCACTTTCGTTGATCCTTTTTAGAATTGTTTCTAGACAAAACAACAAACTTTCAAAAGTATAACTAAGCTTCATAAAATGAAGAGGTTACTATTTTCCAAAGTATAACAATAAAGAAACTTTTCAATTGTAGCTTTACAACCGTTTGCTTTAATTTTCTGCTATTAACACTTTTTTTCTCTTAGAATTTAAAAGTTTCTTCAAAAGATTTTCTGTAGGCAACTTGGAATTCCTTCATCCAGCAAATAATTACTGACCACACAGTAATTACTTTGGGCACTGGATTAAATAAATAAAACAGCAGAGTCAAGGAATTATTACCAAGACTACCAGAAAGCATTATGTAATAAAATGCATTAACTTTTAGAGGGAGTTCAACAAAAAATGAATACAAAAGCCTAGTTAATAAATACCTCCTTTATTATATTAAAGGCTAGCTAAAAATTGAGCTTTGAATGCTAGTTGCCAAACAACCTCCAGCTAAGAAGACACATTCAAAACTTGTAAACCTTGGTTTCTTCAAAAATAGAAAAATTTGCCAATTCCAATGGTAGAAATACTTTCAAGGCAATTTTACTCAGATATTTCTGTTTGATTGTCAATTACATACGATTTTTCCTAGTGCATTTAGAATTTAAAAATCTAATAATTCATAAACACTATTAGCTACATTTACCTAGTATATAACATTTTCCAACTTGGGCTTCAGCTGGTATACATAGTAGTGATTTAACTAATATTATTAGTGGCAAGAATAACTTTTAGGAAAAGTTTAACTGTAGTACTGACACAATGGCTAAAGGAGCAAATTACTAAATACATGTCCCATTCATAAGAGACCTTTGTCAACAGCCAGAGAATTACATGAGAAAGGCAAAATATTAATAATGTGCTTCAGTAATCAAAATGAACTCACAAAGATGAACTCATTTACACCAACTCACTAGATAGTGTTCATTCAGATTTTTTCTACCAAGTTTTTTTCATTCAGCTTTCAAATTCATTTCAGTATCTTTCAACTGCCCAGAAGTAATCTGGTCCCACGTGGGGATGAGACAGACTAACAGTAGCCAGTGTCTATATAATATGGACAACAGAGTCGCAACCTTGTAAAGGCAGAGAACCACATAAGGCAGGCTCCTGAATGAGGTAGCAGCCAAGTGAGGTCAGGACCCTGGCTATATACAGAGGGATTGAGTGAATAAGTAAATATATTAAGATAACAGAGCCAAATTTTCACTGTCAGTGAAGGGAACTACATATAGAAAAAAGAGTCAAGCTAGAATTAACCCAATAGTGTTGGACTGAAATTGGACTTTACAGATATCAGTGAATTTATTGTTTTCAATACAAAAAAAAAAAAAAAAGAAATATAAGGTGTGTGCATGTTTCTTAACTCTGTCCACTGAGGTCTGGGAACAATAT